ATTATGTCATATGCACGAGAATCAACCTTTCCTGCAATTGTTTAGCCTTATTTTGTTCATACAGCTAAAACTCGCCAGGAAAGTCAATTGCATACGAAGTCAGTTTGTTCTCAGTTCACAGGATATATCATATGACACATCAGCATACCCCTTCGGGATACGTGAGGATGATATCTCAAGGTTACCTCTATCAGACTTGTACTTAAATATTCCTTTTACGGCCATTTGTCTTAAAAACGTTGGAAGATAGTTGGTCGTCATTTCCACAGTTTAAGCGTTCTACACAGAATAGGTGTCCTACACGATTAGCACAGCGAATGATTAGCATATCCACACTTGCGGTTCCATAGCATTACAATTCTGTACCTTAACCACTGTCCAATCTGTCGAGTGAGGAAGTGAGCTGGGTCGACTTGCTGGACATCAGCAATTTGGACCTCATGGATGAACAAATCAGCCGGACAATAAACCGTCATAGAACCTGACATTGTGTGTCCGTTTGTAGACCACTTGCCATGAACGGCATTTTTCCATAAGTTCGACTCGGTATCGTTAACCGGTCAGCATGGTTTTCCACTACAAGCTACAGTATCAGTATTTTCACCTGAAGTTTTACCTATGTCCTTGATTCACGTAGAAATGGTGCCATGAATTAACCGAATACAGTTCCGCATAATCAGTTAGATTAAAGGCACTGGCATCAGAGACAAACTGTGAACTGAAGAAATGATCAACTGTGTGAAAGTACGGTATTGCCGCACAGTTTTTTGTGTTTGCGAGACCTGAACATCAGCGGAAAAAGGTGAAGGACCGTTGACACTGGGCAACAGCGGACTATGAACGGAAGGATGCTAGAAATTTATACGATGGGACAAGCAGCGAAATGAAGAAATATGAATATGGACAAAAATGTAGGGCATTGAATCACTTTCACAAGAAAGAAAGCAATAATCATGTCGCCCGAGTGACGGGTTGTCGATGGACTCCGGCAGTGACGGATTGGTAGCCAAGCGGCTGCAAGCGCCGAATTGCAAGACTGATCAGATCGCAGGGAACTGAGGTTATAATATATGTTGCCTTGTACAGAATCACGGGTCGTTTCTTAACGCCATACCTTATATGAATAGTTATGGGACGACGGCCAAACTTTGGTCAACACCGCGTCACCACCGTCCGTGTCCTCGACGTGGTGCTTCGTCACGGTTTTCGCAAATGTAACCACCGGCATCGCACCTACCGTTTCTGCTGCCTAAACGTCCATGCGATTATCAACGGTACAATACATCAGACACGTCCGAATATAACTTATAAAAAATGCAATTTATATGATTAAATTTTTTACAGGCAAAAATGAAACGCGACGAAGAGTCGACAGCGAGCTATGATTTTGCCGATTGTGCCGTTCGATCTTCGCTTAACTACTGTTTCCGTTGTTCCGAGGCAACGGTCAACAGACGGCAGTCGTTGTTCTGATGGTACTGAATCTGGCGACGCCAGCTAGGGTCGGGGCCGAAGCCGGGGCCGGGAAACCGCTTCGCCCTGCGTACGAATGTAGCGTTTATTCCAGAAACGGCGAACTTGTATGACAATGATTTATGGTGGACAGAAAAACTGGAAGCGTCCTGTTAAACGCATGCTCTGGATGTAGACGAATGACTGAATTTCAATCAATTATCAGAACTTCCAAGCTGTCTGCCATGCGCCTGATGCGGCGCGGTAGGACATGAAACACATAACCTTTTTTCACGTCTCATTTTCTGGATGCCATAAAGGGACATCGGGGGATCGTCTGAAGCGGTCGTCTAAAGTCGGCGTCTTCTAATATCATGAACACAACT